AGGAAAAAACACAAGTGCACAAGAGGGTTTGACATGAGGACTTAATAAAGGTGCCATTTCCATCAGTGAGGATAAGATGAGCTAGTCAACATCTGGGATTGTTTCCAGATAGCTGGAAACAAGTAAAGTTGGATGTATACTTCACACCTCTTATCAGAACAGATTCCGAAAGCATTAAAAACTTATGCTTATAAAATGAAAGCAAAAGTACTAGAAGTAACCTTGAGAGAATGCTTTTATAGCTTTAAAATGGGCGAAACCTTTCAAATTAAGACATACAATCCAAGAACCATAAAGTAAAGCATCCATTCAGTTACATAAAAATAAATAATATCACCCAAACCACTGTAAGCCATGTCAAAAGCCAAACAATAAACTAGAAAAAGTGTTTGTAACTCTTATCCTGTACAAAGTTTGTTTCCTAAAAGAGAAAGAGCTCCTAGAAATCAATAAAAACAAACACCAAAAAGAAAAAGTTAGCACAGATAAGTCACAAGAAAAAAAATACTCTTTTCTTTTAAAGGTACGAAAAAATGCTGAAACTTACAGAGAAACTTAAGGGTACACTGAGATACGGTTTTTACCTGACATACTGCCTAAACCGGACAACATACCATGTTGGCAAGAATGTGGAGAAGCAAGCACTCTCACATATTGCTCATGGGAGTATACATTTTTCAGCCCAAAGGAGAGTGGTTGGGCAACATTCAAGGACATTCACATTCTTGCAGTATCTAATTCAGAAATTTCTTTTCTAAGAAATGTGTATGATTCCTTGGTACACAGGCAAACATGCAAAAATATCATACGCAGGAGGTTATTCACAGTAACACTGAAATGGCATTTTAGAAATACCCTAAATATTCCCCAATAAAAATAGTGAAATATTATATAGCGTAAAATAAAGAATTAGGAGGTTCTATCTATGTGCCAAGATAGAAAGATCTCCAATACAGATCGAGCAAAAAAAGGTAAGGGCCCCCGAAGACTACATGCAGTCAGCACCTAATTTATTAAAAATGGGGAAATGAATGTATCTTCACATTTTCTTATTTATGTATAAAGTTTGACTGAGAAGATACACAGGAATGAATAAAAAACAATTGCCTGTAAGGAACAGATAGAAAAAAAAAACAAAAAGGAATGGATGAAAGAGGGAGAATTATTACCATCTGCCCTTTGATACTTTCATATTTTTTAAACATAATAATGTCTGACCTATTGAAAAACAAAATTTGAATGAGACAATTTTTTTAATATATTATATGTGCTGAGGATCAAACCCAGTGCCTCACATGTGCTAGGCAAGTGCTCCACCACTGAGCTATAACCTCAGCCCTGAATGAAACTGTTATTAGATAAATCAAATAAGTAAAGGTCACACTGGTTTGTATAGAGGGAAGAGATGTTGCTGGATTTTATTGTATTCCTTCTATTAAAAAAAAAAATGAACCTACTCCTTAATGTCTCATGCCTCGAAAGTGCTCTTGTATTTGAGGACTGAGTAAACAGGGACTAATATCTAGGCAGTTGTCTCTCTGCAAAGCTGTCCAGTTTGCCCAGTACCTACTATGTGCCTGGCTGGGTCCTGAGTGCCTGGGAACTTAAAAGACCACCCACCCTGCTGTGAAGCTGGACCTCAGAATAGGAGTAGGAAAGGCTGGGGTACCACTGCTCCCAACCCTCCTCCCTAGGGAAGCCTATCAAAGAGGCAGCACTAAACACCGGCTGCTGAGAGACTCCTGGTGCAGGAATAGGAAGTGGAGCAGCCATGCTGGTGAGCAGCCATGTTGGCGAGAATGGAGGAAACAATATCTGCCACAGGGTCCTGGCACCACCTCCTTCCAGCAGTCTAGCAACCTTTGTCCCCTACCCCCTTGAGGGGAAGATCCCAGAGGAATGAACCCTCTTTTTTTGTGGGGGGGGGGGGTTACCAGGGATTGAACCCAGGGGTACTTAACCACTGAGCCACATCCCCATCCTGCCTCCCTTTCTTGTATTTTATTTAGAGACAGGGTCTCACTGAGTTGCTTAGAGCCTTACTAAGTTGCTGAGGCTGGCTTTGAACTTGGGATCCTCCTGCCTCAGCCTCCTGAGCTGCTGGGATTACAGGCGTGCGCCATCTTGCCCAGCTACCCTCTTCTTTTTAATGAGACTCAAGACCCCACACAGGAACAAAATTCGAATAACATCCTGTCTGGTGCCCAGGGATCTTTTGAGCTGCCCTAGCTTTTTCTTTCATACACAAAAAAGAAATAGAAGTCAGTAACTCTTGCATAGGTGGTATTTGTGTGTAGGGGGTTAGAGTTTTGAGGAAATTCAGAGAGCAGAGAGGGAATGGGAGGAAAGTGACAAGAGGTGGGATTTTAGGCACTGGCTGCAGAAGAGCAGGAAGAAGTGTGGTGGGCTGGAGCCTCCCTGGGGCACAGTGCAGGCACAGCTACCTGCAGAACATGCTAGACCAGGTGGTCATACTGGGCTGTCAGGTGGTCATTCTGGGCTGGTAGCTGAGCCAGCTTCTTCCCCAAGGAGAAGCGAGGATAGGAAGCAAAGGGGGCAAAAAGGAGGTGGGGAGAAATGAGACACCCACCTTCCTTTTTTCCCTGAATAGATTAGGAACCTGAGCAGGGGGGAGGGCTGTGTCTGAGGGCCAGGAGGGCTCATGCAGAAACCTGAGCTAGAACAGTCTTGGGTTCAGACCACCTTGGTACATTCTAATCTATCCCATATATACAAAAATCAGAACAGATCCTTCTCGTGACATAACAAATACTTTAAAAGAGGGCATTTTGAGGGCTGGCACCCAGGGCATTTTATCAAGTTAAGAGTTGTGGCCGGTGCTGGAAGAAGTCCGCCCAGGTTGAAGCGAGAGGCTCTAAGATGCCAGCTTTCAGAGCAGGAGGTTCCTGGTAACCTTCAAAACCCACTTGCCTTCTTCCCTCTCCCATTTATTTATTTGTGCAAGGATAAAGTAGTAGCAGAGTGTGCACTTCCTAACTCACAGGGGTCTTCAGGGCATGAATGTCAATCACGAGCTGCTTTCCACACATGTAGAAGCATTATTCTTGTTACTTCTATAAGCATTGCCATTATGATCGTCTCACATCCATACTGACCTTGGAAAGGCAATTCTGGATATTAGAGCACAGAGGGGGAACTTGACTTAGCAGAGCCCAAAGAGCCTGCTGGCTGGCGATGGAACATTTGCAAGTGGGCAGGCAGGACTCCCTCGAACTCAGATTCCCCTGCAGGAAATGCATGTGGTGATATTAAATACCTTCATCTTTCACACTGTTCATCCCATTAGTCCGTCCAACAAGCCCACAAACAGAGTGTGTTATTTTGATTTGACAGGGGATGGCCCAGCCAGGTGACTCTACAGGGCCATGCCATCATTAGTGAAAAACCCCAGGGCACCTGGATCCCAGCCCAGCATTTGTCCCTGCTTTCTTACCCCCAGCCAGAGGTGAGCCTTAACCACACACACTGCCAGGGCAGGAGTCAGGGAGACTGGCCTCAGCGGCTCGGCTTGGTTGGGCTCACTGTTCTTTCTGTAGTTCACAAGCATTTGCTTAGAGCAGCACATTTTATGTGCTCTCTTCTTTCCCAGAGTCCCAGCTGTAAACGGAAACAGGGTCATGGAAGCAAGGCAGGCAGGTCCTAAAGCGCTTCCTGCCCCACCTCTGCACTCAGGCCCGGGTCCCTGGCAGTGGCTGGAGTTCAAGTTCAAATGCCAGCAGGTCATGAGCATGGCCCTTCCTGCTCTCTGCATGCAGGCGAATGGGTGTTCTTTACAAGACCCCCTTCCAGCTCAGAGTGGCTGCTGAAGGAGGCCTAGGGTGGGAATGTCCATCTGCACAGTCTGGATTCTTCTACAAGCCGAAGCCTGGGGTTTCCAGGCTTGGGTGGTAGATAAATTTTTACTTAGAACCCCAGGTTTCATATTAGTTCTTCCATAGAACCACAAAGTGTAAAACAGAGCAGAGGGGAGCCATACTGGCTGAGGCTGGCATGCCCCCCACATGGCCCTCACCTTCTGTACAGAACTATCCACAGCCTCTAAGCCTAGGTGATTGCAACCAGTTCCTCCCCTCAGCCTACCACCCCTGGAAGACTGATGCTGTGCCCACATGGTGCTCCCCTAGGTAGGGCGTCTGTCACTGTGGGCACGGATTTCAGACCCCTCTTCCTGGCATCTGAGGCTCTCTGAGGTTGGTCCCAACATACCTGTCTTTCCTCACCATTCAGACCCAATTCTGTGGTCTCTTTAGCACATTTTGCATCTACCTCCTCTCCCTCCCACCTTCTGTCCTCATGGTCTATCCAAACCCAAGCCTCTATCCAAACTTGAGCCGCTGCTCCCTAGAAGCCCTCACTGCCTGCACCAGCCATCTGTGCTCTCACCTCTGAAATCCAGCAGCTCACATACTTCATGCCCTGAAAAACTAGCACCTCAGGGATGCACACCTGTAATTCCAGAGATTTGGGATGCTGAAGCAGGAGGATTTTAAGTCCAAGACCAGCTTCAGCAACTTAGTGGGACCCTCAACAATTTAGTGAGACACTGTCTCAAAATAAGAGGTAGAGTGGCTCTGGGTTAATATGTATACTAATGTCACCATGTGTCCCTCTGCTGATTAACTCATGACAGATGGAGGATAAGCTGCCCCTTTCTCTCAAAGGAAAGTCTCAATAATATGAATTTCAATGCATGGCAGGTCTTTGGTAAATAGCTACTAACTTTAATCTGTTAAGCTGCAGTGGTCTTGCTATGTTTCTGGGGTTGTGGAAGCTCCTTCTTCATGCTGAGGAGAGTGGCAGCACTGTCCACAGTCGATCAACATGAGAGACCCCTGGACTGAGATTGATTTGGGGCACATCACCCCTGTCAGGACTTTTTCTTCTGAAAATTTCCCTAGGATGTGCACCTCTCTTCAACTCAAGAAGCCCCTATCGGGGTGAATGAGACATTAACCATGCAGCCTTGGCCTGTCTTCCAGGGATTTGAAACTGGACAACATTCTTCTAGATGCAGAAGGTCACTGCAAACTGGCCGACTTTGGGATGTGCAAGGAAGGGATTCTGAACGGCGTGACAACCACCACATTCTGTGGCACTCCCGATTACATAGCTCCCGAGGTAAGACCTGTATGCGAACGGCCACCTCCTCCTGGAAAGGCAGGGGTCATCATGCACTGGGGTCATCTCGTAATGCCTTCTCCTAGCACTACCAGGATGGATTCCAGGAGGGAGTTGGGGGAAGGTTAAAGGTTCACTGATCTCAATAAAGATGTGGTGGTGACTGGAGGAGGATGGGTCAGCTAAGTGACAGGCCTGTATCTGGGCAGGGTCTCACTGAGCATCACTCCCCATCCTAGTCCCCGGTCACCAATAAAAGTAGGACTAAGACAAATTGTGGACTTTCATCATCGTTTTCACTTCTTAATAAGCACAATAAAAAGCACCATAGAAAAGGGCAGCCATTTGCTTTATCAGCTGTAACTTGCCGACAGTGAAACCAAGAATCACCCACCATTTCCCCTCCGTGTCAGATCCACCTAGTGGGAAGGCAGGGTGGAGCAAGAAGAGCACAATATAAGCAGAGATCAGAGATATTCATTTTTAGCATCACCAGTGGGTCACCTTGTATGTTTGGGTGTTTTGCTCATCTGGAAGGGCTTGTTTGCTTTGAATCCTTCCGATCTTGTCTAACCCAAGAGAAACATAGTGTTTGTGGATGATTCAGATTTAAGCTAGGCCTGTCATGACACTTAACCAAAATGATCTTGATAGCTCTGAGACATGTAAGATGGGAAGGAAGCACCAATCTCATTAAGCATTGCACATTCAGAGAGATATTAGACATTCAGATTTCATTTTCATGAGCACTTGCTAGATACAAGCAGCGTTGGGGTAAAAATGGACTGAGATGGGGTAAAAAATCTCCTTCTTCTAAGGAAACTTTTGGTCTAGAGGGAGTGACAGATAAGTCAACAGGTAATTAAGCAGAATAAGTCAGTATATAAAACAAGATGGTATCCTCAGGGACTTGGGAGGGCTTCTTTGGAGCACCTGAAGGATGAACTGAATTGTAAAGAATAATGATTTCCTGTGGCTGTAGGGGTGGGAGAACATCCCTGCAAACAAGAGGATCAGAAAAAAAGCAGAGTCGGGGTAGAAGTTCTGAATCCTTTCAAGGCAGAGTGTATGTTTCCAATCTGGGTCCCAGGATCCAGCACACAAATCAGGTTCTTAGTAATGGTTGGTTGAATGAATGAATGGGAACTTGTGACATTTCAACATGAGCCAAGGCCAAGGAATAAAAACACTTTGGTCTTTTTAAGGAAAGGTAAATAGTGTAGCATGAGCAGAGGTTCCTTAGCACCTCTGCTCATGCTACACTAATGAACAAGGTTAGCTAAAGGGCCTAGGGATATGGCTTCATTCTGTAGGAACTGGGGACCCACTAAGGATTGTTCTGGAGGAAGGTCCTAATCAGACCTGTCCCAGGAAGAAGAGTGGCAACCACAGTACAGATCAGAAGACAGAGAACAAGGGATGGACAGCGGAGGGTCTTCACAGGCCAACCACAGCTGGGGAGGCCTGGGGAGGGCCTAGAAGTGAGACGGGTGAGTTGTAATAGGTAAATTCTCTTTAGAGCCTAATCCCTTGGCAGTGAGACCACAGGTACTATAACAAACAGTAACAATTTTGGTCTCTCTGCTAGTCTTTTCGCTTGGCAGTAACACTAGGAATTCAACCGTCAAGAAGAGATAAATGGAAGTGAAAACACTCCATTTGGACCTGGTTTTTCCATCTTCCTCATTTATTTATTTATTTTGGTAACAGGGATTGAGCTTGGGGGCACTCAACCTCTGAGCCACATCCCCAGCCCTATTTTATATTTTATTTAGAGACAGGGTTACTTAGTACCTCGCTTTTGCTGAGGCTGGCTTTGAACTCTCATCCTCCTACCTCATCCTCCCGAGCCTCTGGGATTACAGGTGTGTGCCACTGCGCCTTGTCCTCATTTATCCTTTATCATGACAATGCTTGGTTCCAATTCCTCTGAGTCCATGTCAGAATGGAAGGACTGACACTCCAGTGTAGTATTTAAGGACCCCACCCAAGACAAACCTCACTTTACAATGGACAGAACACCCATTCAGCCCAAAGCACCCCACGGAGGAGACTCTGATGTGTGTTTATAATGAGGTGCTGCCACTCTCCCTTCCTGCTCTGTCCAGCATGCCCACTGCACAGGATCGCTGTGACACCAGAAATGGCAGATATCCCTGGTCTTATGGCAGGCAGAGTACAGCTGATAAAGAAAGGGGTCACTGTCTTTATCAAGGGCTAGTGGAAAGATTAAATAAAATTATCCCTCCAAAGTTCTTAGTATGGTGCCTGGCCCACAGTGACCCCTGGCTTACTGGTTATCTTCATTATCTTCATTGTTAGATTACCTAATGAGGCAAGAAAAACATGCCAGAATGCCCCCATGTGCCCTTGATCCCTTGATGAAGTAAGTCCTGAGACTTCTGAGCCTTTGGTTCCTGTCTTTCAAATGAGAATCTTCATGCTGACCCTGCCCATCTCAGCAGGGTGTTTTGAGAATCTAATGAGATTAAAGCAGGGGCGTGCTTCTGAAGGCACGGCCTCTATTCAAATAAGAGAGTCCAACCCTGAAACCAGAGCTATCTTCTGAGGGTTCAGCTGGGCCTACAGCTTCTCTTCCACCACAAACACTTGGCTAGCTCCTCTGGCCCACCTCTCCTTTCTCCATGCCTGGCCCTGTTCCCCAGGAAGTGGCCGCCCATCCTGGGCAACACCTAGTGTCATTAGGCCCAACACCTGCCCTCTCTCCTGCCCCAGCTCTGACCTACTCGAGGGATTGGCTGCCATGCCAGGTCCTCCCATGGCTTACAAAGCCTTGCCCTCTCACCAGCTCCGTTGCCGACATGCGATTAAGAAGCAGGTAATTAGAGCCAAGCACGAAAGACATTTAAAAACAAGAAGGCTCTGAAGGGGTTGGGAAGGGTAGATAGGATCAATCTGTGTCTCGCAGCACCATCTTGTCTGAGCACACACGAACCACCCGGAGGTCTTGTCACCACTCCGCAGAGGCACAGACCCCAGCTGTCCCACCTCCCTAAGGCTAGAGTGGAGCCACCTTATCACCTAAAGCCCCCGAACCCAGGAGTTAACAAGTTACACCCAGTAAGACACACACAGTGATAGATTCAAAAATTATGCATCACACAGTATTGTATATTGTTGAGCACTAAAATGGGCTGGTCATGATGGTGGGCTCAGAAGAATGCTAGAACCCTTGCTCCGGTGCTTTAGAAAGCCCAGGGGAGACAGCTGACCTTGGAAATAGCTAAAAATGCAATAACATGTTTGAAGCACTTGCATATCTTAGGAACTGGCAGGGACTTCGGGAGATAGGAGAAAGTGCTGAGGAAATCTAGGAATGCTTTATGGAGGAGAATAGGGCATAACCTTGACCTCAAAGGACAGAAACTGGTAGTGCCAATAAGCTGTAGTGAACCAGGTGAGGTGCTGGATCTCACAAGGTTGAGAAGGAGCTGACTTTGACTTTGGAACAGAGTAGAATCAATGGCTCCTCAGGGTGGTGGGACCTGTAGCTCTGACCTTACAGATACAACGCACTAATCCCTTGGCAATGAGGCCACAGGTACTATCGAAGCAGATGACTAGCCCCAAATAATTTTGAGTTGGCTGCATTTCTTACTTCTTTTTCATTCCTAATTGGGAAGATTCCTAAACTGCACGAGTGTTTTAGATGCTTTTACTCAAGTCTTCCTATTTACTCACCAGCAATTTAGGATAGCTCTGGAAGAATGTTTTAGCATGTCATGTATGCGTTTAACCTAAGTGATTTTGACTCTGTACATTTGGTCAGAGGAAAAGAGAGAGAAGAGACCAAGAGAGCATCAGGAAGACCAGTAACTATTGCCAAAGACAAAGTTGTACCAGACAATCAAAAAGATAATTGGGCTCTGGCTATGGAAGTAAGGAGAACATTCATTCATGAGGCTGGTCTCAAAAAAAAAAAAAAAAGGAAGGGGTCTGGGGATTTTTAGAGGCAGGTAAATGAGGAGTTAATCAATGAGTCTCTTGGGAATCATGAAGAACAATGGAGATGGGTCTATGTAGAGCAGAGTGGGTCCTTTGTGGGTAGGAGACAAAGGAGATGGGAAGGCTTATTTTCTGTAATTTCCTTCCCAGGAGCACAGGGCCCAGGTAAATCCAACATTGTCACCATTTAGGGACAGACTGAGATTCCTGTTACCTTTCCCTGGGCGCACTGAGCATGCCGAGGGGCTTTGTGAGATAGAGACCTGAATCAGCCACTCACAGCTTGCTTGTGTCTGTCTCAGTCTGCATCTTTGCTCTCCTGACCCTGATTTTAGTGTTGAGATATGCATTTTTTAAAAACATAACCCTGAATGTAAATCAAGGACTTCATCTGAAGCTCAAAGAAACAGCCATTTGTTCCCACTGAAGGATAGACTATTGGAGAGGTGACACTCAGCCTCTTACAAAGTGCATCCCAGCTCAGTTCTTGGAGCTTGCTGCTTTAGACGCCCCATCCCCAGGTAACACGACAGGGCTCCACACTGTGGGGGAGTGAGTCAGAGATGCAGACCTCCCCATGGGCATTGGTGGCACGGGTGTTGCATTGGGTGGGGGACATTCTTTGGTGGTCCCTAATGTTGCCTGTTTCCTGAACAGATCCTGCAGGAGTTGGAATATGGCCCCTCAGTGGACTGGTGGGCCCTGGGAGTGCTGATGTATGAGATGATGGCTGGGCAGCCCCCCTTTGAGGCTGACAACGAGGACGACCTGTTTGAGTCCATCCTCCATGATGATGTGCTGTACCCAGTCTGGCTCAGCAAGGAGGCCGTCAGCATCTTGAAAGCCGTGAGTCATTGCCCCTGACCTGCCCCTGGGGCTCCTTGCCCCCCACCACACACGCACAGAGACCCCCACACACACCTCTTCTCACCACTGGATGAGAGACGAGCTAAAACAGCCTCCGTGGGGAGTTCAGGCAGGGTTCAGACACTGCTGCAGAGAATGGGGCCTGGGACAGTGGCTCTGCTGGTGGGAAAGGGACAGCGTGTGTGTGGGTTTCCTGAGATGGTACACTGTGTGCGTCTGTGTCCCCCAGCATCTCAGAGGGAACAGATCSAGCCCAGCCTGGGTCATCCCCTCTGCTCCTCACACTCAGGCTAAGTCCTTCTGCTTCTCTGCCACCAGAGAGAGGCCTGTCTGCATTGAAGCCTCCTCTGCGGAAGAGAGAGGAGTGAAGGGCAGGGAGGACAGCCCAGCTGGTGTCCATGACAGCATCACTATGCCTAAGTAGCCAACCAGAAAACATGATGTCCACTCAAGATCCGGGCAGCCATGCTGTATTCAGACACAGTGGAGCCTGTCCCTGCCCTGCCAATGACCCTTCACGGGTGAAAACACTGTACTTTCTCAACATAGTCATTTCTGCAATGTAATGACATTGGTACCAGGTCTAGTAAATGACCTTCCCTCAGTGCAGGGATGGCAACCAGTTTACCCAAGGTCACCTTGCTGGTTGAAGCAGGGCCAGGGTGACAGCCCTGGAATCTCGATTTCCAGTCCTGGCTTCTTTCTTCTATCAGGATGCTCCAAAGCACAGCACTTGAACAGGTGGCATCCACCAAACCTGCCATAATCGAAAACTCTGTGTTTCATCATTTGCTTTCCTGGTCCTTTTCATGACTCCCAATCTTTACTTAATTGCACATATTTTATGAAGAAATTTATCAGTCCCTATAATAGATGGGAAATCAGTATCACTTGTCTTAATTAATTAATTCATGTGAAAAGTTTAACCAGATGTAAAATCCTTGAGCAGGTTTCTGGGGCACACACACACCTGCCTCCATTGCTTCACCCTCCTGTTCCTCCTTGGCCTCCTGTGGCTCCCTGTGGCTCCGGGACCCCTGGCCTTGGAGCCTCGCAGCCACATTCACTGACGCAGCTGAGCTCCTCTGTGTTAAAGCCCTCTTTGTCCTTGCGCTCTGGCACTTGGCCCTGTTCTCCCTGGCATTTGGGCAGCTTCTCCACTCCTTTGCTTCCTCTTCCTCTGCTGCCCCTGCATGTGGGCACACATCAGTGGATGTTCTCAAGTGTTGGCCCAAGAGCAACTTCTCAACGAGGCTCCTCTGTCCTCCCCCAGCCCTTGAAAAATTAAAACTTGTGTGCCCTCTTCTCTGGGCCCTCCCTCCTGCTCCATTTACTCCTGATAGCATTTTCCACTTCCCAGTATTCTCTATGAATTATGGATTGTGTTTATTTTTATGTTTAGCACTTTTCTTCCATGAGAAGGTAAGCTCAGTGAGGGCAGGAGTTTTGTCCACCTCATTTCATGGCTGCACCTGAGGCCTGAGGCACACTGCAGGCCCTGCCAGAGATTCTTTGAAACATGGAAGGCATGTTTTAGCGCTCTGCTTCTTGCTTTTGCCACAGATTGCAAAGTTCAACCAAGTAGGTGATGGAACAGTTGACCTGGTTTAGGTAGGTAGCAGACCAAGCTGGGGAGCACTCACCTATCTCAGCGGTGTCCATTCCCTGGCTGCTGGCTTTCAAAGCCTGAAATCCAGATTTTTTTTTTTTTTTTTTGGGTGGTGTTGGAGGCTAGGAAGCTACCAGGGATTGAACTCAGGGGCACTAGACCACTGAGCCACATCCCCAGCCCTATTTTGTATTTTATTTAGAGACAGGGTTTCGCTGAGTTACTCAGCACCTCGCTTTTTCTGAGGCTCTCTTTGAACTTGTGATCCTCCTGCCTCAGCCTCCTGAGCTTCTGGGATTATAGGCATGCGCCACCTTGCCTGACTAAAATCCAGATTTTTATGTAAAATCTCTCCATGTTAAATGATTATAACTCGTTGAATTAGAAGAAAGTCAGGAACCACAGCAAACCCTCGCATGGTCACTCTGGAGAGCCAGTCTTTGGCCCCTGCCCTTACCAGTTCCTTGCTGATGTCACTCATTAGCTCATTGGCTCCCTTCATGAGTGAAGTCTGTCATGCATGGCTCTTTCTTCAGGACGGAGCCCTGGTTCTCCTCTGTCCCTGGGCTCGCCCATAGCCCAGTGCTCTCCCCTTGTCCCCCTGTGCTCTGCACCAGCAACGTCAATAAAGCCCACAGCTCAGGGCTGTGTTCCAGCCACACCCACTTGCAGTTTGCAGGCCTGTGTTCTCAATTCCCTCCTCTACACCTCCACCCAGCTGTCCAGAGGTCCCTCATATTCAGTACGACCCCAGACGAAGCTCATGATTACCCCCTCAAATCTGCGTGCTTCCAAGCTCCCTGGCTCAGTAAATGACACCCCACCCTCCTGCCTGCACAGCTGGAAATGTGGGCGCTCTACTTGATGTCACTTTCTCTTCCTCTGACAGCCTGTGGATCAAGGCCATTCTCCCTCTGAAAATGTTTCATTCTGGTTACATTTCTCTGTGCTCCACCTCTACCACCTGAGTTCAAGCTGCCACCACCTGTCCTTGGGGGAACTGCAGGATCTCCTCATGGGCCCCCTGCTACCTTCTTGCCATCTCTGTCTTCAAGCATCTCGGACCTCATGCCCTATTTAAAATTCAGCCATGACTCATATCTTCAATGAAGCCTGCAAGATCACACACGGGACCCTGGCTACCGCCCTGCCATTCCCCCTCGGGGGCTCTGCTCTGGCACATGGGCCCGAGTGCATGTGCTTTCCTGCTCTGCACCCTGCAGCCAGCCTACTCTTTGTCCACTCTCCACCTCCTTCTTTTTCCTGGGTACTTCTTGCTCCTCCTTTGGGTCTCCTTCTTCATGTTGCTGCCTCAGGAACCCTTCACCAACTTCCCTGCTTCAGAGGGGCCACTCCCTGTTACAGGCTGGCAGCCGGCTGGGCGTCTCTTGTGCCATTCATCACAATTAATTGATTCTCTTGGGTGATTACTGGTGTCTCTTGGCCTCCTTTACTCTTCTGCATGCTCCAGGAGGACCAGGAGCATGTCCCTTGCATCCTCAAGTGATGGCATCCTGCTTGGCATTTTTGCCAGAACGGAGTGGTTGAGAGGTGACGAGGTGACGCCAGCAAGCCATTGAGATGATAATGGTTATGTTAAGCTGTGTATATTAGATCCCTGCTGTCCACCTCCACCTGCTACTTTGGAGTTCTAGAGGGGATTCCCGGAGAGTTCCCATTGGTTGGGGAAGTGCCGGAGGAGGGATTTCCGGTTGGTGGTTCCTGGAGGAGCCACGTGGGTGGCGTTTGGGAGAGTTCCCCGGGAGCGTGTGTGGAGTGTGCTGGTGGAGTTCAGAAATAAAGTTTGTTCCTTCTTCAGTGGCTCGTGGTTCGTGCCCAGCCAGACTGCGGCAGCATCCCTATCACCCATCCCAGCCCCTGGGGAAGAATGGAGACTGACCTGTCGGCAGGAAGGAGAAGGGGATTTTAACCAGCAAGTCCTGAGCACCTGCCAGGCCAGCACTCAGCTAGTACCCACAGGGTGCTCTGGGGGCCTCACTTCTCTCTAGCCTCTTCCATGTTGACCTCCCTTCACGAGCCTTTGGCAGAATGACCTCCCACAAGAGGGAATCTGGCTTAGGGGACTGCGCCATCCAACTTTGCAAAATGAATTCTGTTCTTTCCTCTAGTTTATACATAGGGCTTTGCTTGTGTCATTATTTGCTTGCTGCTTGGAATAGGTTTTATTTTGCTTTTGTTTTTTAAAGGGAAATGTATAAAGTGGGACACGGGGAAAGTTCTCTGTATCATTCCTGCTCCCATCACCTACCTGTGAGTGACTCTGTTTTTAGATTTTTATAGACCCTTCCAGAATTTCCTGAGGTATATGCAAGCAAATGCAGATACCAATTCTTATTTCTTTACCTTTTTTAGACAGACTTTCAAAAGCTGTTGCATGTATTTTGTTTTCCTCCCAGTGAGGGATCTTGCCTTTTCCCTTCAACGGCATCTCTTGACAGATGTGTCTCCGTTCAGTACGCCTGTTCCTTCACTGTGGAGCTGCCGTGTGAGGGCAGCTGCCGTGAGGCTCCACCACAGAGGGCCTTCGCCCTCTTGGGGAAGAGATGGGAGCTTTCTCCTGCTCTCGTTCCCAGAGCCCCATCTGGTTCCAGGTCAGCTGATGGGCTGAGGAATGGCCTCTAGCACCCACAGCAGCCAGGACACCATGTCCCACCAAGCGGCACCACCCCGTCCCCCAGCCCTGACGCGGCTCAGCCATTTTCCCATGAGCCTTCCTCCCAGCCCAGTGGCAAAGCTGCTCATTCTGGCTGACGGAGCAGCAGTTCTCCACGGGGGGCCATGTGTGTGTGCCCAAGGCCTATAGTCAGCAGTGCCTGGAGAGATTTTTAGCAGACACAACTCAGGGTGTGAGGGGGCTGCTTCTGGCACATGAAGGGCAAAGGTCAGAGTTGCTGCTAAACAGCGCACAACACACAGGAGAATTCCTGCTACAAAGAAGTGTCTGGTCCGAAATGTCAGGAGCACTGAGGTTGAGAAGCTTTGACCGGGAGAGATTCAGAACCTAGAGGTCACAACTGTGTTAGCTGGTTAGTGTCTGCGAGCAGAGTCTCTGGCTCAGGGGAGGCTTCCTAGGATGTATGTCCTCCTGAACCTCCACACTTCCCCTCCCAGGAGAGGGGCCAGGAAGAGCTGAGTAGGTGAAGAAGACTCTTCTACTCCCCCCGCCTTGGAACACTCCGCTTCCTCACATTGTCACTTGGTTTTAGAGCCAGACCAGGTTTTCTGTTACTCTGGATCACAGTGTGTCTCTGAGGACAGCTGCGGGTGTGAAAATGGTGTAGGAGTCTAGAGAAGGCCTTTTGCCTCATAGAGTCATGCAGTGCCCAGCCTGGGCAACCGTAAGAGGCCATCATGCAGTCTCTCTTCCTCAGCACAGTGACCTGAGGCCCAGGCTTCAGCCTCCTGAGGCTCACTCATTACAGTTCACTGAGCTCACAGTAGGAGGCAGACATGAAGCCAGGTGCTGGGCAGATGGGACTGATTTCCAAATCACAGAAGTCGCCAAGGGAAGATATATTTAGATGAATGACAATTTAAGTAAACCAGAAATATGGGACCCAAGGGATCGATAGAGAAGAAGAGAATCTGGGGAAGCTCCCAGAGAAGGCAGCATTTTGACTGGTTGGTAGAAAATGCCTGAGGACTGGAGAGGTTAGAGGATGCAAAGGGCCATCAGGGTTGGCAGGGTGCAGATGAGAAGCCCATGTATGCCACACGAAGAACAGAGACTCCATGAGGGGGGACATCTCAGTGTTTAAGCAGCAGAGTGTTGCTAACTTGTATATTAGAAGGATGACACTCACGGGGACCATTCCCCTGCACTCCTCCCCTGCTGTCTGCATGCTCTCCCCGTCCAGCTGATTCAGCCTGCGCTCATGTGCTTTGGTTTCAAGGGCACCAGAGGAGAAGATGGTAGGAGGCACTTCCTGCCCAAGAGAATCTTCCCTACTGATGAATCCCAAAGTTCAACCACTATAGATTTATTTCTTTGGATCACAGTTTGTCTCTCAAGTTATTTTGTTCAGGTGCAGGCACTTGACCTTGACCCTGTGAAATGAAGCACTTTGTCTCTAAGGTGCAGACACACACACACACACACCACACACAGACAGCTTAATTTTAAGTGGCTATCAGAAATATGTCCATTTATGAGCATTTTGGGAGGTTATGCTGGTATATAGCTGCTCAATTAAAGTAATGCTTATCACCACTGACTCAATTACTAGAAATGAATTCCCCTGGTGTGTGGGTCACAGGACACCACCCAGAAAGGACAAAGCACATCAGTATGGTTTCACATGTAAGCACTGAAAAGCAGTAGCCTTTTGTTTTCTTGTTTTATTATCTCTTGAACCTACATTGACACTTTGTATAGATTGGAAATTCAGATATTTAAAAAGTGGGAAGGGGCCAGATCTGGAAAAGGAAAAGGAAAGGAGGTATGATTTGCATGCACATGCATACCTGGTCTTCTTTCTTTCCTCAAACTCAAAAAGGAATTGCTCTCTCACTTAGTCACCTTGATGGGAAGACTTGAATCTGAGGGGGTATCTGAGAGTGAGCAAGAGCCTGAGATCCTCATCTCTGCTTGCTAGCTATGTGACCTTGACCCGGTTAATTATTCTGTGCCTCAAGAACCTCTTTTATAAAGTAGAGATAATAATAGTATGTCATGGGACTGTGTGAGGATGAAATGAATTAACATAAAAGCTACCTTTAGAATGGCGACTAGACACACACGACATCCTTGTGCACGCTCAGAATGCCCGAGAAAGGAAGCCCCTCAAACCGCAAGGTTAAAAACACCGTCCTGGGAGGTGGTATAGAGGATGCCACCTGGGCCGACTTCCGCCTCTTGCCTGCAACCTGTGTCTGCCGAGGCTCTGTGGGTAATTCTGTGTTGTGTCCTCCTCCCCGCAGTTCATGACCAAGAACCCCCACAAGCGCCTGGGCTGTGTGGCTGCGCAGAACGGTGAAGATGCCATCAAGCAGCACCCCTTCTTCAAGGAGATCGACTGGGTGCTCCTGGAGCAGAAGAAGATCAAGCCGCCCTTCAAACCGAGAATTGTAAGTGGAGTCACGAGCACCCTCTACCCTGTGGGTGGGGCCCCCGCACTGGTGCGCAGGTGGCGCGTGCCCCCAAAGGGTGTGGTGGGGCACGTTTCACGGCCTGAGCGACTYGGGCAGGAGGCGGCCCAGAGACCCACTAAGAGAGTCTCTTGGGCCCTCAGCACTGACGTCCGAGAATCTGTCAGCCGCACAGTAACCAAGATGTTGGCCCCAGGAGAACACTTGTTATTCCAGTTGAGGTTTATTTATTTATTTTGATTTTAAAAAATCACAAATGATGCTGGTTTCCCGTGATCGGTAGAGATACAAGGTTTCTCTATAGATAGATGGGGTTGTTTTTTAAGTTAGTTTATTTAAATGCTGGTCACGGTCACTATGTGCCACTAGCACCCAGTGTGCGCTGGGACCTGCCGGGAGTCTCCCCTGTGGAGGGCTGTTGCCATAGGCCCTGTCCCAGAGCCCCTTCTCGGCGGCGCTCTCCTCCCTCTGCCTTCTGTCACCCACAGCCCCAGAGCCTTAGGCCTGCTGCTTTGGCGGTCACCATGGTGGGTAGTGAAGGGTCTTGCAGCTCGGAGGTTGGAAAGAGGAGGAGACATGCAGCGTGGGCTTGCCTTGGAAAACACGGGCCATGTCTTGACTGTGGCCTTCTGCTGAAGTGGAGTGAGGCCCTGCGTGCTCCTGAGAGGAAGGAGAAAGGCAGAGACTGAGTGTGTGTGCACGTGTGCAGGTGTGTGTGTGTGTGTGCATGTGTGTGTGATCTTAATTCTGTTGTTTTGTAGCCCACTAAGGAAATAARTCCTTCAGATTGAGAATTGGGATGGCAGAAGGCTAGAGCTAGGGGACTGGGGTCCCAAACAGGGAAGACCTAAGGTCACCCAGTGGGCCCTCAGCCACTGCATCCTATCAGAAGAGCCCTCCCTTCCCACTTCCAAGTACAGAAAAGACCCTCAGGGATTTGGAGGATCTGCAGAGGATTCCACTCCCCCTGATGGGGCTCCTGGGGCACCATTATTGGTAGTGCTGCAATTCTGAGAAATGTTGCAAGGGTCCCTTGAACTGATGGGTATGGTCCTAGCCTCAGCCAGACTAGAGTGAGGTGGGTGAACCAAGCCTGGACCCCCTGTCCTGTCTCTGTCCCTCATGTGCTTCCTCCTTGGGTTTGCATGTTTTGGGGGGAGCACACAGTTTGAGACAGGCTAGACTTAGGTTCTTTGCTAACATCTCCTCCACTCTGGCCCATTTCACCATAGCTCTGGGCCCCCAGCAMGAGGCCTGTGCTGAGGGTTTGGGAGACGAGGAAGGTTTAGGGCTCCATCCCCTTCAGCTGACTGCTCCTCTGCTACCACAGGGCTCACTGCAGGCACTAGCCTGCCTGAGGGCTGGGGATGGGGGCCTCACAAAGTGGTCTTGAAGGACAAGATTAATTGAGCCTCTGACCAAATGGAAGAAGTAGGTCACCAAAGGCCTTGCTGAGAAAAAGGAAATATTAAAGCTTGAGATCTAAGGGTGAATTTTAATTCAGACTTAATCTAAGTTAATTCAATCCAAAGGAAAATGAGAAGTGGAGCTAAGGAGAGCCCAGGCCCAATGAACAGAAAACCAGAATGAGATCATGGCTGATCAGATGTCAGTACCAATCTAYAAAATGGCACGAACTTACATGGAGACTCTAGGCCAACAAAACCACTTTCAACTAGGTTTGAGGAGCACCCCACCCCAGGTGGGCCAGACAGGGATGGAGCGGCCCCTCCCCGTGGCATAGGGTGGAGGTAAGCAGGGGAGTGAGCTGGTGTGGCCAGAGGAAGCCAGAGAGTCTGTAGAGAGACCTGGAAGGGAGGAAAGAGGRAAGAGCTTTATAAGGCGTTTCAACCTATGGATTCCTGGAGCTGAGTCTCTCCCTGGGGTTTAATATGTATCAGGACCTTGATTGCCACAGGCCTGACCTAGTTTTCACTCAACTCCAGTGGAGGCACCTGCCCTGGGATTTCTGCAGTTCTGAGAGGCTCAGGGCTCCAGGGCCCTGGTCCCAGCAGCTCCTCACCAGCTTCCGGCCTTTACACTGAGACTAGGTGCCCATTGAAGCTGCAGAGCTTCTAAGAGGCATCACACTTTGATCAGTGCCCATCCTCCTTGGAGCCTGGGAAGAATGAGGGGAGGGCCCTGAGAAACAGGTGCAAGGAGACTGTGGGCCCAAGGGCCGTGCAGAACCCACGCAGAGGAAAGAGGAAGAGAGGGAGGAAGGGACAGAAGAGGCTGGCATGTGACTTCCTCCAATAGCGTGTAAGCTTCACCTTGGCTCAGACAGGCAGGGAGTCCTTCAGGTGTGAAAGTGTTCCTCTGGGCAAAGGTATGAGAAACCTCCCAGAAACAGCAGTGTAAAGGAGTTAGATGGGATTCCACCTCCCCTGGGCCTCTGGAGCACAAGGACCAGGGCTTCCCTTCCTTGGGCATCATGAGAACCCATGCCTGAGACTGGAGAGCAGGGCTCTGCACACTTCCTTTGCTGGAGTGCTCAGGTGGGCTTCTGGTGGCTTCCCCACCCCCTGAGAGGTTGATCAAGAGATAGGATGTGGGACATCCAAAAGCTCCCAACAATGTGTCTTGATCAGTTTCCTGAAGACTTCCTCATCRTCGCCATGGAAACCGTCTCGTATGCATCCTGTTGCTCTGTCCCCCAAACCTCCACAGTTATCCTTGATGCTGGGCTGGGGCCAGGGAAAGGCTTTATCAGGCTGGTTCAAGTTCAGTTGGGAGGAAAGGTTTAGAACGTCCTGGAGGAAGTGTGCAACGTTGTGCAAGTGGTGTTTCTGGCCACACTTTGAATCACGTCAGTTCTTACAGAGCACCCTACTGAGGTCTTTAAAGACTTCGATTTAAATATCTGGTCCCATTCACATCCTTGGGGCCTGAGATTTCTCACACAAGAAATATAGAAATTGGCAAAGAAAAGAATAACTAGTTTGCATCTAGTTAGCCTCAGGAAGGTGTCCCCACTCGGTGCCTTGGTTGAAAACTTTCCTGAAATGTGGAAACAGCACCAGCATGCGCCATCTGTGGGCTTCAGTCTAGCAGAAACAAATGTTAGGTTAAAAAAAAAAAAAGCCACTGCAGTGATAGGTATACTGTATCTCTCATCTCAGAAAACCTCACAGGACCAGTGTGAAAGCTCACACCAGGTTTTCATGGGCCCTTGTCCCCTCTAACCAACTCAGGGGACCCCAGGGATGTAGGTGTGCTCCCTGCCCAGATAGCAGCAGTCCTCACTGTGCTCAGCATAGGATGGTCACCCACTGAGGTCACTGGGGAGATTGAGACATGGGAAATTGAGGCATGGACCTGCAGAAGTCTTTTATTACTAATGGCTTGAGGGTTCCATCACAGGACTGACTTTCATTGGGCTTGAGGTGTCCTATAATGTGAGGTCCCAACAGGTGCCTGCTTAGGAGAGCTGGAGAAGAAAGAACCTTGACAGAGGAGAGAAGGAAGGCGCATGCAGAACGCAGCATTGGGAAGAAGCAGCCAGATTGGAGGGACTATTAGCAGCCAGGGTCAATGTGAGGTTCTTGGATCCTGGATCTTAGAGACAGGGTTCAAATCAAACAAAAGCCACCACGAGAAGGGAAAGATCAAGGCTATGAGCAAACATCACCAGCCTTGCAGTTTGCAGTGATGCAAGGACACTGGGCACGTTTTAAACAGGCGAGGAAAGCAGGTGCCCAGCACCTCCCATCTGGTAACACTGGACACCTGGGGCATGTGGGGGAGCTCTGGTTTTCTCTGTCTGCAGATAGCTCCATTGCTCCCAAGCTGTACCCCATTGACCTCACACCAGAATGCCACAGTCCCCCAGAAACCTGGTCAGTAGCCACTGCCCCACTCCAGTTGGCTGTGTGGTGCCTGAGTCACAGCGGGTAGGGGGTTTAGGAAGGAACTGGTTTCCTCAGTTGGTTTGTCAGGTGCTGGAAGTAAGGCTAGGAATGGTCCCATCATCCAGTCTAGCAGTTAAGAAGTGTCAAGAGACAGTGGCACGTTTATCCAGAGCTCCTGACCCTCCCCACTCCCACCCCATAGAGGGATCACTTCAGCAGGACCTAACAGGCACAGGGAACCTGCCCTCTGCCCAGGCTGGCTCAGCTGGAGGCTGGGGCCCTGGCTCATGCCCACAGGGGCTGAGACTGCGTCACAAGGACCACTCCCAGGCCTGACTGCCAGCCCCTCTACAGGAAGCCTCACCCCTCTGCAGATATCACCAAGGAGATTGTCCAGATTCCAGGCTGGAATTTGGCCTCTGGTCGGTTTTCATCACATACCTCCACTGGTGGCTGTCCCCTCTAGGCTTTTACCTTCCTGAGATGTTTGCTAAGGCAGAGTTTCTGCTTCCTTGGCGCCTAAACCTCCTTGAGTAACCCCTGCCCTGATTCACCAGTTGTCATGAGTGCGAGTGGGTTTCCTGGCTTCAGGTTGTCACCCCTCTGTACTAAATCCCACCCAGGACACCTTTCAGAGGCCTCCGCTTCAACATGGAGATTTTGCTGTCATCGTGATTCCAGCAGTCTTGTGTATCTTCCCTCCTCTAAGTTCCCCTTTATATTCCTCCTCTCCACCCACACTCTGAACTGGTTTTGCACAAACAACATGCTATCAACACCGAAACAAAACTTTGTGCCAACATGGACTCCAATCAGTTTTCTGGAGGTGGTTTTTTCTTGAGAGATGATGTTTGATGTTTTTTAGAGGAAGATGTTTGATGGCAGGTACCCAAGAGTTGGTGGGTGGGGTAATAAGAAAGCCTTTGGTACCAACGAAAACATCCAAGCACGGAAGCCTCTGGTCTGTCCTGTGGGGATTTCCTTCCAAGATGGTGGCGTTATCTAATCACTATTGAAAGTGACACAGTTAACTCTTGTGCTTCTGGAGGGCAGAGTGATGTGTTTGGTGTGGTTGAAGGACACCACCTGATCTTGCCGAGCTTGGGGAGGTTCTCCTTGCTCCTGGAT